CATACAATACATTTAATATATTATTTATGGCAAAATGTGTACCAAGCAACTTTAACCATATGAGGAAAGTATTTGCTTGGATTCCATTTAAAAGATACACACTTTTATACTCTGCAAAGCAGTCCCTTCAAAACTATGTAATTTATTAACTAGTAATACCAATACCAAACAATCTTGCAATGCTTGACCAGGGAGAAATCCAACACAAGAATAAATTTGACCATATTTAAATCACGAAGAAGTAATGTGTTAACACAAGAATCAAAAGTCTTGTAATCCTGGTAAAATGATAAGACAAAAGAGTGCTATTACAATTTGTAAATATACAAACACAATATCTAACAAGGAACATCAATAAAACATATACAATGTTAATTCCTCATTTTTTACTACTGTTTTCTATTTGACTTCACTTATTTACTATTTTTATTGAGTAATCTTGGTTGTTTTTACATATTTAAGCTACACCATGCAAGGTATGCTCCCTACACATATCTTTGCTAGCTATCTATGGCACATTTTCCTACATGTATATATAGTTTTATAAGCTGCTTAGGTGGGTTTTAGAGTCTCTTTATCAGAGGTTTTCAAGGAAAGCCCGAGCAGGCATATGCTGGGAATACATTATGTATAAAATATCCTGCCTCAGGGCAAGGGCTGCACCAGATGGCCCATGGGCCCTCTAATTCTTTAATTCTGGGTGTACTAGAGATCAGTTTACAGGTGTGATTTTTAAATACATAACCAATGATTAGCAAACAAAAAGATGCTTTTAAAAATGAGTGCTGATATTTTTCATTGTTATAATGATTTACGGATTTAGCTTTTGCAGAATGTTCTTTCAAATGGAATTTACAAGCATCCTGCATTTAACCAAAAGCAGTTTGGTGATGCACATGATTGATAATTTAATAAGAGATGCCAGTGTTCAGTGAGAGCTGAATTACATTATCAGGGAGACAATATAGTTCTGATCAAAACATGTACCTTCCACCAAATCTGTTTGTGGGTAGACACAGACCCCCTATAAATGCAGTGCAGCTTAACCAACAAGTGAAGCTTGCTGGAAAGGAATTTACAGGCAAAGCACTCTCGAGCAATCTTTTTCTACATCATCAGATTCCCTCAGTAGATGTGTTGTACAGGAGCTCTCAGATCACAAAGAAAAATAACTCCTTCTCCTTTGCTTCCTCCTGGCAAACCACTGATAGTACCTGAAGGAATATTTTAAGCATTGATTCTCCTCTAGCTTGTCAGTTGAAGCTACATGTTCATAAACAGCCTCACATAAAATCTATCCCACCTAAATTAACACTTGTATGAAATTTCAAGTCTCCTTCCAACGTTATAAGACTCTAAAGTACAACACAGTAAGCTGGTATTCCGACTCTCCTTAAATGAACATCTATAAATGAGTCTCCATCTTAGCAATTGAGAACAATAATGATATTGTAGCAATAATTTGGAAAGTCTTCATAAACAAGTAAAACCCAATAATTAGAGGATTTGCCATGAACATCATAAATTATATTTGATTTTAAAAGTTATTTTAATTGCAAATATATTGCTCCTTACATTTTTGTGTAGAAAGATGCATTACAGTTTAACAGATATCAACATATTTACATACAAATATGGAATTAATGAAACATATTTTAAAACAGCTACTGTTCTACTGGTTATAGCAGAAACAGAGACATAGTATACCATTGGTTTTAGACATTTTTCAACAGTACTTGCTTTTAAGCAATAGGCATTTAATGTAAATTCCTAATTCCCAAGGCAACTGATCACCCATATTTCACCTAATAGTTTGAAACTATATTCCAAAATAAATCCATACACTCACAGATCGATAGTTTTACACTTTTGTGGCACCTTACAATCTTCTGATTTATCTTTAGCAAATCCTTTCAAAACTGGGACTGTCCATTAGCTTGATAAATCATGTTGAATTTGAAGGGAATCCAGTATGCAAATGTTTCAGCTGTTCCCTGAACAAATGGTCTTCCTTGACAATTTGAAAAACTGAAAATCAACATAGGAATACTTGACCTTAATGTCTAATGTCAGTCAGGAATGGCATGGTTGGTCACTTCTGTGGAACTGTTGAAAAATGTATAGTGCATCTTCAGCTGAAATCCATTAAGTTCTGATTAGACTCCAGACATATCTTTGAAATTTTTGCAATTATACTGGTATGTTAAATATATAATCAATCTACATCCATCCCCTCTTTAGGTAAACCTCATCAGTTTATTTTTTAACCCTACATAAGTATTAGGTGAGAAGTGCTAGTGCTAATCTAATCATGAATCTTTCGGCTTTCCTCCCCCATCCCTAGTTCTTTTTTAAAATTGTCTGACAGTCTTAGACATCAGACTAAAGAAGAAATCTATCCAGAGCTCAATTTGTTCAAGATGATCACCTTTCAAATAGTATCATCCTTCAGCTATAATGGTGGCAAAGGTAGACCCCCAAACCCCATGAAATTTCCCAGTGGGAAATAGTATAGAAATTAGTATTCATTGCAACAACATTAGCTTAACCTATTCATAATAAATCTTAGGTAAGCCATTATGGTACTGAGTATTGGCACAGAAAGTCCTTCTAGCAAAAGCATGAAAGTATTCTGTATGATGGTATTTGCTGTGTAAGAACAGTTAATACAGGCCCCTAGTGGTTTAGCAGTCACAGTAACAGACAAAGGGGTAATATCTACTTTTTAGCTGGTGAAGTTCTAGTACCAACAGCATTCCACTGTGGAAATTACAGGTGGCCTTTAAAGAAAATCGGAATACATACTGTATTTCCAAGTACAAACTCAGAAACCTATTGTCAAAACCTACACAAAAAACCAAAAATCTCTTCATACAAAATATTTTATGTAAACGCAAACACATTAGTGCGTTGGACATAACTAATATTTGAGTAAAATAACAACCACACTTTAATTCTGAAAACATGCCACTGTTGAATACTTATTAAACACGAACACACTGAACAAATAAAAAGATAATTTTGAAATGTATCTGCTTGAAATCTAGAATCCAAGAGATACAATTTCCTTTTAAAGTGTCATTGCTGGCAAAGCACACATAACCCACAATGGATTTCTTAGTGCAATTTTTAAAAATCGAGGTCTTCTTAAACTTTGAATGTTTAAGGAGAGTGTACACAAACCATACATCATTTTGACCTGAAAGAATGTATAAATGTTTTCTACCATATTTCCACTAGTGATAGTACTGCATTTGCAAAGCCCATCCAAATTAAATATCTCTCCCTTGTCTTTGAAAGAATCTAGATCTTAAACATAGCCTATAAGGAATATATCTGATGTTTACAGCAATTTACTAGGAAGAATTTGACAGGTGGAACTATGATAATGACCATACCATCAATTACATATTTGAAAAATGTAACAGCAGAAAGGTAGATCTCATGAGACTTGACTTAACTGTCATGAAATAATCAGTAGCTTCCCTTATAAGCAGCTATATATGATGATTTTTAGAGAAAGGCACCTTTTTATTTCTGCTGTTTTAAGTTACCCTGTTGAACCACTGAAGCCATTTGAGAACTCTGAAAGCCACATCCCTTAAGCTGCATTTACATCAAAAATGGAAAGCACCAAATATTCCATGCCCTTTACCACACATTAAAAAATGCAACCACTTTCTGTCTGTTGTAATTTTTGCAAGGTAATACTATTGTTAAGGTAGGAAGCGCTTGGTAAAAATGAACTAATGGTAGTTACTATACAGATAAAGGGATGAAAGCAATAAACAAAAAGTCTCTACTGTCACTAAATGTAACTTTCTATCTTATTTCTTAAATATAAAAATCACAAGCACCAAGAAAACATCCTCACACCATGCAAACTTAAAGAATTCCAAAACTAAATCAGTATCTATTCCAGGAACTCAAATGAAATATTACACTGCCTCACACAGACACTGAAGAAACATAAAAATCTTGGTGCTGCACTCTGCTGGGGTGAACACTCTCTTCTAAACACATCAAAAATGTAAATTTAAGTTTTATGCATGTGCACAGAAAGTTGATGTTAAATGAACTTCTCAAAGGATTCCAAAATATACAAAAACTTGCGTGAAAAAATGCTGGTGATAGCACTTCCAAACTAACCTGTAGAGGAAACAGAACTAAGCCCAACAGAACAAAAGAGCAAGGGGGAAAATCTTGTGCAGTAGTCCTGACTTACAGGGAAGCTACTCTTTAAAGAGGTAGGGAAATGGGTGAAACAGCAAAACAGGAACCTTAACAAGTGTCAGGACACAAGTTGGACATCAAAGGATGGATGAAAGGAGTAACTGCCTTCTCATAACCTGAGAACACTGATCAAGTAAGTACTACCAAAACACAAGAGCATTCTTGCAAATCCCACAATCCCGTTAGTAGAAGTCTTTGTCTTGGCTCCTTTAAGATAGTAATCACCCCCTCCCTTTAACATACGGATTTCTTCCAGGCTCAATGAGAAAGGAACAGGATCGAGGATCCTTTGCCCTGTGCGCGCACACGCAGACCCTACACATATACACCAAGTGACTCCCCCAATCTCAGCACTATCAGTATGGCAGATACTCTTGCCTTGGATTTCTGTTCTTTTCTTCCTGGACTAATAATCACCACCCAGGACACACATTCCCTCGACCATTTAACAACAGCCCTTCTTTTAGCATTACATGCCCTGCTCTCCTCTCCCCCTCCCTCGTACACAGGCACTGCACGCGGGTCTTACTCTGGCCACCAATCAAGGCACATCGGCCGACCCCTCCTCCTCTCCATCGCCCAGCTTCCCAATTTTGCCTTCTTGTCAGTTCTTTCTCCAGTCTGGAGATTAGACCCCAGGGCTAACGGGGGAGGAGAGGGGGGAGTAGCTGCGAAATGCACATGGCTGTCTGCTACATACATGCACGCACAGGGAGAGCAGCGGCTCGCGCGAAGAAATGGGTCAGCGCCGGCAGCGGGAGAATTACCTGGTCATGTTGGCTCCCCCTCCGTCCCAGCAGCAGCAGTCCGCCGAGCAAGTCCGCCCGACCGCGGGCGCTCCGTGGGCTTCTCGCCGCCGCGGCTTCCTCTTTGCCTTACCGGCAGCCTTGCCGCCGCCGCGGCCACCTTCTCCTTCTGCCTCCTGCTGCTGCCGCTCGTCTCTCGGGCGGCCACTTTAATCCAAACCCGCGCCGCGGCTCCAAGCCGAGCCCCCGGGGGTGGCCGCCTGCTCCAGCCGTTCCTTCACGGACAGTCCACAGCGGGAAAGTGGCAGGCGGCCTCTGAGAGGAGAGTCCGAGCGGCCGGCAACATCGAGAAGGGAGGCAGCCGGCGAACTCCCCTGGCAGCCGGGGTTCCCTGTTTTCTTTTTCTCCTGCTGCTGCCGCCGCTTCTCCTCCTCCTCCTCCACTCCGCTCTCTTCTTGCTGCCGCCGCTGCTCCCGGGCGCTCGCTCCGCTTCCCCCTCCTTCCTTTCTCCTCTTGCTCCCTCCTCCCTTTTCTCTCTCTTCTTCTCTTGCCCCCCCGCCCCTCTTAAATTAGTCCATTCTTTAGCTACAAATAGAAAACCGGGTCCTCTCTTCTACTCCTCCACAAAAAGATAAAGAAAAAAAAAAAGGAACGAAAGAAAGAACGAAGAAATCACAAAAGTGCAATGCGAAGGCTCCAAAGGACAACTTGGAGACAGTTTGGGGTGTGGACATGAAGGCCCGGAAGCGAAATCGAGTTAAACACCCCCCTCCCCAAAGCCCCTTCTTAGAGGACTCCTCTGCAAAGAGGCGATGGCTGCGCGCTTGCTTGCTGAGGGACAGAGTAGGAGTGATGCTCTCCTCGCCCTCCCAGGGTTTTGCTTTTTAAAGAATGCCTATCTACATCTAGAGGTATCGGTTGGATTGTTATTGTTAAATCCTCTGACGCGGTACGACCACAGGATTTGTGTGGCCCCAAGTAGTGCGAAGAGAAGCTTGTTGCAGAGCCGGCTGGTTAGGCGAGGGGGAAGGTGAAGGTGAGGTGAAGCAGGAGAACCACTGAGCCGGCCCGCTTCTCTCTCGCGCTGCCTCTTCCTCCTGCAGCCTGGACCACAGACTGAGGGAGGGCAGAAGAAGCAAGGAAGGCACACGCACACGCACACGCTCACGCACACGCACACGCCGGAGAGCGCGAAGCGGAGCCCGGGCGTGTGCGGGAGAGAGAGAACAAGAGAGCGTGCACGGGCGGTGACGTCACTCCTTGCCTTCCAGAGGTGCCAGCCCGAAAAGACCTCCCCTTCCCCTCCCTTCCCCCCTCCTCCTCCACTCCGCGCGCGCCTTTTGTCTTGCACATACATATTACATATTTCCAAGACGGCGACAGGATGCGCTCGCGCGTTCCCCTCACAGAAACGCACGCGTTCGAATACAAGTCAGAGAGTGTCTGGTGTCTGTTACACTCCGCCTTTTCTCCGCCCTCTCCAGTGAAATTGCAAAATCCTCGTATCATTACAGCTGCTCCCATGTCTCGGGGAACACACAGTGCAACCTACGCGGGGGTGGGAGGACTTTCTGCATGAAAACACTGGCGAGAGGACGAGGGCGAAAGGGACAGTACAGTTCAGCCGTTCGGTTTTATGTCAGTCAGATGCCGTTTTGGAGGAGTTACACTTACTTCGCTCCCTGTCCTCGTTCTGGAAATGTAATTAAGAGGTCAGGTTGTTTAAAAAGGAAAGAGGTGGCTTACTTGACTCAGCCTGAGAACCTCAAAATCTCCACTAAGTCTTTTAGAAATATCTGCTGTTGAATCCAGTGAAGCTTCAAGGCTGCATACTTCAAGGAAATTGCTTCCTTTGGAGTAATTATTTGCATTATTTACATAATCTATATAAGCAGTAACATTTAGTTTGGGTGCTGTTCAGATAAACAACAGGATTTGTTATTGGAAATTTAAATTAAATAACAGTAATTTACTAGTAATCACAACTTTTGAGTTTCAAAAAGAAACCATGTGGTTCAAGCTTCTAGATGCATTTTTAAATAGCATTAATAAGGGGGGAAAGAACCTAATCACGTAACAAATGCAGAAAAATCTCCCTTACTACAAGCATGGGCTTCCAACTTCTACCACTATCATCAGCTACATTCACAGATACACATAAGGCTGATTCCTCAAGGTCAAAGTCCAAACACTGCAGAAGTCTCTCTCAAAGAAGAAGCCAAGCAGAAGTTCATCTTTTCAGTTTCACCAATGTCCCAATTCGGCAGACAGCTGGTCCAGGGTCTGCTTTGCAATTTCCACCATTCACCTCCTTGTGTAAATTCATAAAGTAACCATAGGAGAAGCTTATTTCCCCCCTTTCCTGAGGTCTGGTTACATGAGCAAAAGGGTCAGCTCAAGACCAATGCTCTAGCATGAACAAGAATAATGGCCTTCACCGTAAAGAAGCACGCAGAGGTATACAAGGAGACTACAGTACTACAACCCTTTGGATTAGCACACTATGATTTGTATACTTTTGTTTTCCAGCCTCTAGCTCACTGCAACACTTGCAAGGCAGCCTTACTGGGGATGCTGAGGGTTGTAGTTCAAGATACATGGAGGGCACCAGAGTTGATGAAAGCTGTGCTAGGAACATGAAATACTTGTTGCCCCCTTGCATACATGCAAGCATATTTGGGAAGACGTAACAGAAGGAAGCAGTACTTTGCACATGCAGAAGGCACTGGAGCAAAGTGCTTTTCTTTACAATCTTGCACCTATTTAAGAACAGTCTTGTCCATAAAATGAATGAGTTCAGCAGATGTTAGCTCCCTGGAGATTACCCACCACCACCATCCATGTACTGGGTAAGCAGCTGTAGAGGAGTTCTCAATCACAGTGCTGGGGGAAGGGCAACAGGCTGCGCTTTACAGACCCAACACATGGACTGGGAGGGAACAGCAGAAATGCAATGGCAAGGGCTGGCCCAACACGGGCTGCCCACTGTTCTGCAAGCACTGGTTAATCACATCGCATTCCTTTGGCAAATACTCCATTTTTGAACCAAGATGAATTAATCTGAATACTGAGTCTCCATAGATCATTTTATTTCAGCATCACCTGACAACACGGACAATTTGACAATTGTCAAATTAGTGTTCTTATTTTGAATCTACTAACTCAAAAGCATAAAATTACCTTTTGCAATGGGAGTTATTCCAGAGTAGGTATTATAAAATTGGTTTATAAACTACACTATTAAATGGCTGTAAGTCCTATTGATTTAACTGGGCTGCACATACTTTCTCCAAACCCACTTTCACAATTTTACAAATTGTCCTGCGATAAAGAATATTTCTGCAGCCAAATTCCAAATATTTATCCAAAAAATTCAAAGAATGGTTCCAAATGGATCCAAACATAATCATTAATAAGGAAAATCAGAGAGTTATCAATCAGCAATGAAATATGAAAATCCTTCCACAAGAAGGCATGCAAAAATATAGGATTAGGCATGCAAAAGAATCTGGCAAGGGGAGTAAGTCAACATACAAGCACTTGATGGATACTGTTTGGGTCTGATTCCTATTGCAATTGAAATACCAGTTTTCAGGCAGATTGCAGGCACATGTACTGATATCCTATGCACATTTACTCAGAAGTAAGACCTCAAAGGATTCTTGTGGGAATAAGTTTGAGAGCAGCAGCAGGAGAATGATGTAAGCCACTTTGAGTTCATTGGGGGGGAAAAAGCAGGATATAAATCTAATTTAAAAAAAAGATCTATGTGACCACTGGAGTGGATTCTTACATATGTAAAGGTAAAATCCTATGACTGAAGGTAAGACTGCATCTAAGATTTGGCCATTAAAAATAAAACAATTACAAACCATACATATCAAAATGTCTTGAGATAGTTTTGTATTTCTCTTGTTTATTCAGTATCACGTAACCTATGCTTAATATAGGTTAAGCATATAGAAGGTTATGCACATTTATTGGCTGAATAAATACAGCACCTGAAAACTACTTTGTTTTGCTAGGGAACCTTGTGCCAATCTTCAGTTGTCTTTAAAGTTGGAAAAATAAATTGAAGCAGTCATGTCATAATGAATATTGAAAGGAAACGTGGTTATAATGTAAAGTAAAACAATCTCATATTGTAGGACAAGTCATCATGTAAACTTAGTGTTTTGAGGACCTCACAGTTTTTGAACTTGTTTTTTCCTCCCATTCATTATAAAATATGCATAATGTTATGTTTTGCTTTGGTTTGTTGGGTTTAGGCTTAGTTTTGTTGCTTTATAATCTATGTTGATTTTTGGTTATGTAAAAAATGTGTACACATACTTGTAAAGTTACCAAACTGTTGGAATATGTTGTATACCAATTCCTAGAAAATGACCAGCCTTTGTCTCCTGGGTATTTGACAGCCCCTTTCCCATCATCAGGATTCGCATTATTACAGTTTTTTGCAACAAATCCTTCTATGTAAAAAAAGCGAGGAGTATTACAGCTTTCAGCATACATCTAGTTCATAGCACATACTCTATTGCAGTCTAATAAACCTTGATCCGACTTCATCAGCCTAAAATCTCCATGGATTTTTATCATGTGATTAATTACTAGCTTCCTGAAGTCTTTTTTCCTCTCCTCAATTCCTTTAATACAAAGAGCCAAGATAAAAATAGCAAGCATGGCAAAAATAATTTAAAAAGTAAATGTACTCAGAATCTCTTTCTTCTTCAGACATCCTTTCCTTTAAGTACCAAAGGTTTATCACTTGAAAGATTTATAAGAATCATGCAAGTTTAAAAGAGAAAGATAAATCACTGAATGAGTCCCTAGAGATATCAAATTAGCACTTAAAACAGACACATACATAAGGTATATTCGCAGTGTTTATTAATTTTGTTTACTGGGAATGTGTGTACTTATTAGCCTAGTAGTTTCTAAGTTTTAGTATTCACCAGAGCAGAAAGAAAGCCTTGTGGCTTATAAATGAGGATTCTAGAAGTGTAAATTAGGCAACTAGAGTCTTTTGCCTAGTCATTTAGATATCCAGGGCTTAATGCATGCGCTAATGAAGATTTATGACTAATCACTTGTTATAGTTTAGTTGACAGTTTGTCTATTGTAACTGTAAATACTTGGAATGTACAGCTTTGATAGTACTTGCAATGAACAAAGAAAAAGGATATGCCACAAATTTACCTTTCATTTGGCATCATTCTTGTGCCGGATGGGTTCACATGATACAATAAGCTATGGAGATTTTGCATGTTGCCTGAATCCAGCACTCTTTCCACAGGGTGCTATATAAGCCACCTAAGTGAGTCATGGCTTGCTGTGAAATTTAATAAGCCCACAGTGGCTTATTGTGTTGTCCAAATGCACATGACAAAATAAGCCACAGTGAGACCAAAACTCCAGAGAATCCCTTGGCAGCAAGGATAGCAGAAAGGCCTGCTGCTCTAG